TTCTTTTATTATAATTTGTAAAATTACAAAATCTGTGTATGCTAAGTTGGTTTCCTGCCACAAGAACACTTAAAAAAAAAAAAAATATATATATATATATATATATATATATATATATATATATATAATTGATTTTTTATAGAGAAGAAATGAGAGGGACAGAGAGTTAGAAACATCAATGAGAGAGAATCATCTATCAGCTGCCTCCTGCACACCCCCCATTGGGGATGTGCCCGCAACCAAGGTACATTCCCTTGACCGTAATCGAACCCGGGACCTCTCAGTCTGCAGGCTGACTCTCTATCCACTGAGCCAAACCGGCTTCAAAACAAGAACACTTTTGATGTACCCCTTACTTATGAGTGAATTCTATGAAACTACTGACACAGGAAATAAGATGGCTTTAACAGCATCAAAATTACTTTCTTTAAACTTTTTCTTTCAGTATACAGAATGATTTTTAAGCTGAAAGAATTCACCATTCTCTATTTAATGAGAATAGAAAGATTCATTGCATACTACAGAGTATGAGGAAAAATGATTGCTTGGAGAAAAAAAGAGAGAAAAGTCTACCTCACGAAAACTCAAACTCACCTTTCCTTTGTGTTTGGGACTTGTCTGGCCTACGAGCGAAGCATGATAAATGAGACCATACTTAGGGGTATCCCGTCTAGACTTCAGAGCTCTGAATAGTGCCTTTTCTGCTCCAAGAATCTGAACTGTGGAAGCTGCATGTTTGGCCAAATTCAAAAGAGAACCTTCAAGAGAAAAGAAGTAGCTACAATCATTTTTTAATTACTTCAAAGTTCCATGCATTAAATACAGAACCTACAGTCTGGTTATTATAGCCAACAGAACAAAAATCTGATATAATACAAAAACTTTCTCTAAGTGTAGAATTTCCTAAAAATCCAGATGCCTCAACATTTGTGATTCTTCCATTAGCATCACAAGCAAAAGTATGATGAATGTCTATGATAAGCTGAAGATTGAGCTTGTTCAATTTAACATATTTGCCTGATAAATGGTTTTATTATTTTTCACTCTAATTAGCATACCACGAGGGCCTATATAATAAGCCTAATATGTTAAGTGTCCGGTCTATTCAACCAATCAATGTGTAATATGCTAATGACATGCTAAGGCTCCTCTATTGCACGCTATGATGTGCACTGACCACCAGGGGGTAGACAATCTGACCTGTAGGTGAGCTTGCTGCTAGGGTCCAGCCAATCAGGACTAACGGAGACAGGCAGGACACACCCTGGAGTTCTCAAGCAGCCCCTCCCTGGCTGGCCAACCTTCCAAGTGTACCCCTAGGCCTGGCCTGCACCCTCTCGCAATCTGGGCTGAGGGACTGCCCTCCTCAGAGTGCACAAATTTTGTGCACCAGGACTATAGTATAAATATCAACATACATACCTGCAGACAACCCTCAATCTAATCTCTATTTTTTGAGATTTTAAATATCAAATATACTTCAGATATGAAAAAAAAAATCAACAATCCCATAAAAGTGGAAACTTATTAGGACATCTTATAGAACCAAGTGATAAAGTCCAAACACTTTTGTTTATCCATAGTTAAGATATGGATGGAGATATGATTATAAGTACACAAATTGAGTAGGAAAAGTTGCTGCTTTGTTAGATCTGCTACAAATTTAGATAAACCTATGAAATTTTGGATGCAGACAACAAATCATCTTAAATGATTCCATCCTTACAACTGGACACATTAAGATCTTTAGTGATGGATTATTACGTCTCCAGTAATATAAAACTGGGGATATCTGATGACATATTTAACCAATGAAGTATCTATACTAGTTTAAACACTTGGTTGTAGGGGACACATTAAGATCTTTAGTGATGGGCCGAGACCGGTTTGGCTCAATGGATAGAGCGTCAGCTTGGGGACTGAAGGGACCCGGGTTCGATTCTGGTCAAGGGCATGTACCTTGGTTACAGGCATAGTCCCAGTAGGGGCTGTGCAAGGGGCAGCTGATGGATGACTCTCATCGATGTTTGTAACTCTCTCTCCCTTCCTCTCTGTACAAAATCAATAAAATATATTTTTTTAAAAAAGAAAAAAGATCTTTATTGATGCATTATTACGTCTCCAATATAAAATAATGAACCAATACCTTACTATATTTACAATACCACCATATATATGTATTGAGTTTTATTATAAGTTCCTTATTTAAAATGTTTTTGTATGTCAAATATATTAAAATATAAAACAGCATATTCAATTGTGAAACACATTTAAAAAATATATATATATATCTTACTAATTTTTTACAAAGAGGGAGAGGAATAGAGTTAGAAACATTGATGAGAGAGAAACAGCAATCAGCTGCCTCCTGCACACCTCCTACTGAGGATATACCCATAACCAAGGTATACATGCCCTTGACAAGTATCGAACCTGGGACCTCTCAGTCCGTAGGCCAACACTCTATCCACTGCGCCAAACTGGTCAGGGCGAAACACATTCTTGATTAAGGCTTATATAGTCTGACATTTCCTTCAACAATAGACCACATATATGACAGCAGTAGGCCAAGTGATGTAGGAAGCTGCACCATCTAGGTCTGTGTACGTGCACTCTATAACATTCGTACAATGTTGAAATGGCCCAACAATGACCAGTTTCTCAGACTGTATCCCTGTCATACAGTAGTGCATGATTGTATCATTACCTGCTGTGATTTCTCAAAACTCCTCAAGTTTTGATCCAATCAGTTTCAAATTTTGTTTCTTTTTTATTATTTTTTTATTTTATTTATTTATTTATTTATTTATTTATATATATATTTTATTAATTTTTTACAGAGAGGAAGGGAGACAGATAGAGCCAGAAACATCGATGAGAGAGAAACATCGACCAGCTGCCTCTTGCACACCCCCTACTGGGGATGCGCCCGCAACCAAGGTACATACCCTTGACAGGAATAGAACCCGGGACCTTTCAGTCCACAGGCCGACGCTCTACCACTGAGCCAAACCCAAACCGGTTTCGGCTCTTTTTTAAATCCTTACCTGAGAATATGCTTAGGAAGAGGAAGGGAAAGAACAAGAAACATACATTGATGCCTTCTGAATGTGCTCCAACCAGGGATTGAACTTTATACCCAGGCATATACCCTGGGAGTTCATCATTATACAGGACTATCGATGTTCAACCCAACTAAGCCAATGGGGCCAGATAATTTTCCAATTAAAGTTGACCTTCAATGTTATTTTGTATTATTTTTGGGTATACAACAATTACATACTTTACACAAGTGGTTAGACAAAATGTTATTTACAAAATGTTCACTGGTATTTCAAGTACCAAGCCGGCACCATACATAGCTATAACAGTATTATTGTCTATATTCTCTATGCTCTACTTTTACTTCCTTGGGACTATTTTGTAACTACCAATATGTACTTCTTAATTCCTTCATCTTTTTCACCAAGCCTCCAAACACTTCTGGTAACCATCAGTTGATTTTTTTTTTATTATTATAAAATGTTAATTGATCATAGCCTCTTGTATTCATCTGATTATTCTAATGAACAGCAAATTTCTGATAATGGACAAGTGTCTCAGAAGAGGTAGTGACTAAAGATGCCTTCATTATCCCAAAGGAAATCAGGCATACAAGTAAAAATCATCATCGAACACTGGTCCTTAGCCCTCACCCACATATTACCTAACTCTATTATCTAAAATTTCTTTAATAACTGTAGTTTAAAGATTTTAAAAAGTCCTAGCTAGGAATAAACTCAATATCCACATTACAAATTACATTAAAATCATCACCTGCATGAGCAATAAGCCGTGCTCCAACTAATTCTCCAACCATGACCGTGACATTGGGGGCAATGGCCATCATTCGATTTTGTAGGTATTCATAGAGCTGGGTTCTATATTCTGAGATTTCAATCACCTAGTATAAGGAACAAAATGAATAATTCATAAATGATTGAGTACAGTTTAAATTTTACAAGTCTAAAACCTCAGAGTCCTATATCTATCACAGAACTAATCATTGCATACAAGTTTCCTATAGAAGGGCTGCTGTTAAGATTTTTATTGCATAATTAGGAGCCCAGCATGCAATTCGAAATCGTGCGGCACCGACCACTCTCAAGTCACCGGTCTGGCCCTGCCTCGCTCCCTGCACCTGCAGCACCCACAGCAACTGCTGTTCAGGCCCTTCCCCAGTGCAGTCGAGTGGAGGCCCCTGCAGTCTGCCCCCAATGCTGCATGCACAATCTCCTCCTGTCTGGTCAACCCATTAAGGCGTCTTGATTAATCAGCATATTTGTGTTATAGATAGATAGATGTATGTAAGCAACTTAATACCAGTAAACTAAAAATGCTAGCCAAGCTCTAGCTGGTTTGGTTCAGTAGATAGTGTGTCAGCCTGCAGACTGAAATGTCCCAGATTTGATTATGGTCAAAGGCACAACCCTGCATTTCGGGCTCCACCCCCAGTAGAGGGCATGCAGGAGGCAGCCAATCAATGATTCTCTCTCATCACTGATGTTTCTCTTGGGGCAAAAGGAACCCATTCCAGGGCACTCTGCCCTTCACAAAGGAAAGAGAACCCTCCCCGGGGCTCCCGCCGGCTTCTCCGGGATCGGTTGTGCTATTGCACTGAACGTCTTGGGGCGCCCGTCTATGGCACAGCCCCTCATCACTGATGTTCCTCTCTCCCCCCTCTCTCTTCCTCTCAGAAATTCAATAAAATATGTAAATAAAGTATTAACCAATATTACTGTTATTTTTTAAAAACTTCCAAAGATAAGACATTTGTGTCACTCTCTGATTCTTGTACAGCTATTTCTAAAGGAAAGAAAGGGAAAAAAAATCACGATAGGCTATAGACATAGAAGTTAAAATAACTCAAGCTATCCTTCTCTGCCTTCTTAATGAATTTATAATCATTATCCTAACAATGCAAAAACACAAATAAATTAGTACTTTAAGTATATAAATCAAGATGGCATCAGATGAGGTAGTGACTGAACACCCTCATATTTCTTTATCAGGTGAACAATAAGTTTAAAAATCATCACTGCCATCAGAAAATTATTATTGCAATGCTGGTACCACCACAACTAGTTTCTCTATATGTAGTTTACCTGAGTGCAGAGATGCAGAATGTTGCAAATATCTTCTTCTGAAACCTCTGTTCCCATAGATATCTCTGCAGCTGCTTTCACTTCTGCTTCAACTTCCTCTGGCAGTAATTCAGAAAGTTGGGCTGAGGCATAATTCCTCCTGTCACCTATGGAATGTTTGCAGAGGATGAGGAAGAATCACTTTTGAATGAATTATAACAAAAGCCACCAAACAGTCAAAAAAAAAGGGGGGGGGGGGGCAGAGATAAGCCAATGAAAAAGGTGCCTAGGCCGAAACCGGTTTGGCTCAATGGATAGAGCGTAGGCTTGGGGACTGAAGGGTCCTGGGTTCGATTCCGGTCAAGGGCATGTACCTTGGTGGCGGGCATATCCCCAGTAGGGGGTGTGCAAGAGGCAGCTGATCGATGACTCTCTCTCTCATCGATGTTTCTAACTCTCTATCTCTCTCCCTTCCTCTCTGTACAAAATCAATAAAATATATTTTTAAAAAAAGCAAAAAAGAAAAGGTGCCTAAACAAAAATCAAACAAATTTGGCCTAGTAATTGTCCTATGTAAAGGTTTAATTTTAGAGAGTTAAACCTCTCCCCATCCATCAGCTTCCTCAAGAAACAAATAAATAGCCGAAACCGGTTTGGCTCAGTGGATAGAGCGTCGGCCTGCGGACTGAAGGGTCCCAGGATTGATTCCAGTGGTTCTATTGTGGTTGTGGGCACATCCCTGGTAGGGGGTGTGCAGGAGGCAGCTGATCGATGTTTCTCTCTCATCGATGTTTCTGGCTGTCTATCCCTCTCTCTTCCTCTCTGTAAAAAAATCAATAAAATATATTTAAAAAAAAAAACCCCACCACACATAAATAAATAAATGGGGGGAAAAGAAAAACCCACCACCGACACAAAGCCCTTCAACAGAACTATTACTGTGACAGACAACTGGTAGTTAAGATTATATAGAAGTGAGGGCCATAAATCCTTGGGACAATAACATGGCAATATAATGAGCCAAGTAACTCATTTATTAATATTCAGCATCTTCTACTAATACTACTCTATTACTAATATAGATTACAACAGTAACAATACAAACAGCAATATAGTTTTTAATATTAATTATGGATATCCCATCTGTCGTTGCCCTTATTAATGAAAAATTCACTATGAGACATATTCACTAGAAGAAGTCATTTAAAGAAAAATTAGAGACCCACATTCTGTTGCACAGGCCTTCAAAATAAAAGTTGTCTGTTCTTGAAATTTAACAGATATTAATATGGCCACACATAAAACATAATTTTAGTTGTAAAAAATTATGGGAAGCTTGTTAAGAAAAAAAAATTTTAACTCAGGTTTTTAAAGCATAAAGTTAACTCACCAACTTTCTGCAAACACTTGCAGTATGTCAAATTATCTGAAATTATTTTTCCTAATTCAGGGAAATGCCAGCCATACCATTCTCTACACCGCATAATGTAGTTGTTTAGTTCTTTATCCAAATCATCCAACAAAGCTGCAGCAGATTAAAATAAAAAACAAAACAGGAATTTAAAAGGATTTTTTAAATTGGGGTAGATACACATAAAATTGATCACTTTAACCATTTTCAAATGTACATTTCAGTGGCATCAAGTACATTCACGATGTTGTGCAACCACTAGAGAACCCTCCCTTTCATCATCCCAAACTAACTCTCCACCCTCACCTTCCCCCAGGCCCTGGTCATCTGTTCTACTGTCTCTTTATGTATTTGCCTATTCTATTGTAGGAACCTCACAAGTCTTTTTTAGTGTGGCTTATTTCACTTAGCATTTTTTTAAAAATTCATCTCTGTTGTAGGTAGCATGTACTAGAACTTCATCCCTTTTTAAGGATGTGTATATACCATTATGTTTGTCCACTCATCTGTTAACAGGCATATGATATATTCCTATCTTTTGATACTGTAAATGATGCTGTATGAACAGGGGTGTATAAGTATCTGTTTGCATACCTGCTTTAAATTCTTTTGGGTATACACCCAGAAATGCAATTGCTGTTTAAAGGTCTTTTTAAAATTGAAAAATGCATAGTATTTAAAAAAAAAAGTCACTTAATATGAAATGTCCTATTATAAAACCAAGTGATAAAAGCAAAACAACACAATACAGTCCTCATATAATTTTAGCACTTTTTATGGAAAACAAATGAACTGGTTTACACTTATAATGACATTCACATTATTTCCAACTAGTCTAAATTATGGGTAGTTTTTCTTTTCCTATTCTGCATTTTCCAATTTCTTATAAAGAGTTTTAGTTATGCCCTGGCCAGTGGGATTTAGTTTGTTGAATATTGGTCCCAGCACCAAAAGGTCACTGGTTCAATTCCCAGTCAGAGAACATGTCCAGGTTGTGGCATCAATCCCTGATCAGGGGTACATGTGAAAAGCAGCTAATTAACGCCCTCCCTCCCGACAACCCAAATCAATTAAAAATATTTAAAAGAGAGTTCTAGTTACTTTCTTTCTCAACAGAATTATAAAAGATACAGTTTTAACAGTAAGGGGGGAAAAATTCAGAACAGTGTAGACCTCACATTTATTATACTTACAAATTGCCTGAACAATCATTGTGTCCACTTTATCAGCACTAAATTTCAATCTATATCGGGACAAGCTGGGGAGAAGGAAGATAAATTACTAAGATAGCAACTATAAAAAGCATTTTATAATTAATACCTGAAAAACTTGTAAAAACCCAAATCCCTACCCTCAGAGCTAGTTTTAGTTTTACTTTTTCTTCATGGGAAAATCAGTTGCAAGACCAAAAAATACACATTTAAGAAGAAAATAATACACCTGTCCTGCTATAACCCATAGTTCTGTAACATTCATTTACGAATGACAACTAGAATAATGCTGTATAGTACAGGTCATATTGATTCAGATTATAGCATATTAATGTCTTATACCAGCAGGTAACAAAAAAAATGCAGTACTGTTAACACCTGAAAACAGAAAGGTAAGGAGGAATAACCTATATAATAAAGTGTAGTATGCAAATTGCCCCCTTGACCTGGAGTTCGAATACGGGGCAGGGCCAACCAGAAGGGAGGGAAGCCACTAGGGACCCTACCAGAGCATCTGTAAAATGAGGGCACTACTATTGCTGTAAGAATCGTAGAATGTGCTTAGAACAGTACTATATAATTGTTTACTAAGTAAAATCCAACTTTGTTTTCAATTAAATCTCACCTGTGGGCCAACCCAAGACACATAGCTGCCATTTCTCGTGGTTCTACCCCAGGTATTAATCCATCCATCTGTGAACGAATTCCTCTCATAAGTTCATTAACAACAGGACTATGGATGCAACTGAGATTTAGCTTTTCCTATTAAAAAAAAAAAAAAATCATTTGTACTAAAGAAATAAAAGCTATAAAAAGTTAAATACAGTTTAACCTAGTTCTGTGTTTTATTGGTGTGAGAAATCTTTTACTATCTTACTTGTCTTCTTTTAAAAATTATAAAACTAACTTTAAAAATTATAAAGATAACATACACAGATTTTAATCAATACACTCTAGGACAAGTGAATAAAAAGCAAAATTTTGAACCTACAGAAAAGTCCTACAGATAAATGTTAGCATCGGTTAGGTACTGCCAAATACACATAATACATGTGTTAATCAACACCAGCATTTTGGGCCATTTCACCCTGAACTTGTCAGATCTCCAAATATATACATGTTAATATGTATGTGTACAAAAAAATACATTTTGTCATATTGAGTGTATTTGCTAACTCCATCATACAAATCTACAGTTCTTGTCCACCATATCAAAATTGTATATATTGCATCATGTTTAAGAAACAAATATTTAGAATGTAATATTCTGTGTAAATTTTTTTTACTGTATTTGATCTTAGCCAAAAGGCAGAGAAGTGCTCAGTGTTAATTTAAATGGAGAAACTGAAAAAATTAAAGATACCATAATCACACCATAAAGCAACTTGCCGTCTGCATGTCTGTTTATATACTTATGCTAAAAGTTAATGATAGGTTGCCTTCTGCACATCCCCTACTGAGGATTGAGCCTGCAACCCGGATATGTGCTCAGGATCCTTCTGTCTACACGCCAATGCTCTATCCACAGAAGCCATCCAAAACAGCAAGAGCTAGAAGTTAATGTTTTTAACAGAAATAAACTAAGAATGTAGAGACTGACACCATCAACTAAGACTTCATGACCTGATAGTATTAGAAGTAATCTATTTACACAAACCTCTTAAATTTATAATCCTAGCTTTAAAAATACTCAAATCTCTAACTTTCCTATCTACAAAATCTACAACATAAAATAATTTCGAAGATCAAACCATCACAACTGGCTCTCAAACGGTTCTGCCTTTCATTTTTGGGAGCCTACTTTTCTGGTCTTTCCTTCCACTTTCACTTTGTTTAACTCACTGTGTTTCCCCGAAAATAAGACCTAGCACAACTTTGGGAGAAAAAATTAATATAAGACACTGTCTTATTTTCGGGGGAAAAGTTTTCTAACAAACACATACACTAAAAAAGAAATGTCATGACTCCATTAACGTTGGAAGGGGGAGGGGGGGAATGTGCCTAAACCAAAATATGACAGGATATACACAAATGGTTAACGGACAATCTCCAGGTGGCAAGATTAAAGCTATTTTTTAAAATATCTTTTTTGGGTGTATTTGAATTTCCTACAATTAACATACATGCTTAGCTCTGATAATCATATCGAAATCAATGATGCAGCCTAGGGGAAAAAGATAAAAATCTGAGAACTTATGACGAACAACTGATTGGGAGGTCGAGATTTGAGATCACTATGCCGAATGGTGAGTTCTGAGTAGAAGCTCGAAGGAAGAGTCACTTTACCTTTATGACCCCTCCTAGTTTAGCATCAGCAACAGCTAAGGGTTCGTGGGCTTCTTTTACTATTTTCTTCAGAACTTTTTTTAGTTGCTTGTTGATTTTGCCCTCCATCAGAGCTGTGAATGCTTTTCAGGAAAAAAAACAACAACAACAAACAAATAAAAAAAAACAAGAGTTAATGCTCAATTTTTAACTGTAAGAGCTTAAGATCTTATTTAAATTTAAAAAATAAAAATATGCATTCCCTTTCAAAAGGGCTAAATTTAACATGGTTTCTACTGTGAAATGATAAACATGTTTTACAAGTTACACATGTCACATCATCTGATCTCGTCACCCTCATTTCTATTCGAGAACCAGGAGTTAAACGGAAGGTTCTGCTGCTATGTAAGCATATTGAAGTGGGGCCTAACCTTTGCCAACTCCCAATCCACAGGTGTCATCGGGCTTATAAACCTCCACCGATGGAAATGTTAGTACAGAGGCAGCCTGTTCAATTTTGGGACAGCTTTCATTTCGGTTAAGCTTTAAACCTTACTTTCATAACTTTAAACCTTACTTTCATAACTCTCACCTTCCTTAGACCTACACTGAGATCTTCTAAACCCACATGAACTAATACCCTTTTCATATTCGTCTGGGTTTTAGTAGAATTTAAAGTATGCCTGGCAGAAGGAAGTTTGTCATAATTTCGAAGGCCAAGCATTTAGACATCCAGACACTTGCTCTTTCTTCCTGACAATATCTCCATTCATCGGAATTACACATCACTTTCATTTATTACCTGGAAATATGAAAGGTAAAGACGAAAACTTTTGGCTACCACACAGCTCTCTGCATTCTAAAAAGCTAAGATTCAACCTATTTTTATTGGGATCTAACCTTTTACAATGCTGATTGCTTAGTAATTTTCCTTTTTAATAAGAGTTGTATTCTTTCCTTACATAATTAAAAACTTATAGAGGTGGACTTGAAAGGGTCAATGGGGAAAAGGGAACATATACTTTAAAACACTCTATTCTCTATTCTAACATTTACATTTATCCCCCCTTTATAAAAAAGTTCGTTAATTACTGTTCATATGTACTTTAAAAAGATGACACATAGAGATGGTGACAGGGAAAGGTGAAGCTGAGTCTTCCCTCTACTTATCTTCGTTACTGGCCACTGTTCAGCATCTCCTAATAGTTCTCATTTCATCCAAATGTAGGATGGCCCAAACTTTACTGTGACTATTTCGAAGACTTAGATCTTAAAAATTTGACCTAGAGTAAAAATAAACCTTTTCACCGAAACTGGTTTGGCTCAGTGGATAGAGTGTTGGCCTGTGGACTGAAAGGTCCCAGGTTTGATTCTGGTCAAGGGAATGTGCAGGAGGCAGCTGATCAATGTTTCTCTCATCAATGTTTCTAACTTTCTATCCCTCTCCCTATCTTCCTGTAAAAAAAGCAATAAAATACATATAAAAAAAAAGTTACTGTATTTAAAAAAATAAAGTAAACCTTTTCATTGAAAAGTCATATTTGAACCTCTGGGGTCAGTATAAATTGACAACACACCCCATCAAATGCTTTCTTACAATATGGAGCGTTAACATATAGTCTGACATCTGCAACCACTGCATTTTGGCTCTTGTAACAGGCAGTGGGAAGTTTAATTCTCAGGAAGAACTCTACTCTTAGTAATAAGGCAATGTTAAAATTTCTGGTAAAAGATGAGAAAAGACAGTGAGGTTTCTATGACCAGATTTTGACAGAGCTTTTTACTTTCATTCATTTACCCCAAATTATTTACGTGCTAGAATCTAGGGATTTGAGAGCAAACAACAGTCTCTGCCTTCATGGAACTTGGATTAAGGTGTCAGAGGGTTCTCACTTAGTATAGAATTTTCACTATTTACCTTACAACATTTTAAGAAATACCAAAAACCTGGTAGGGAAATGTGCTTCCTCTGAAGCCTCAGTTTTATCATCTAAAAACAGTGATATTACCTACTTCACAGGTTTGTTTCAAGATTTTGGAGCGATGAATAAAAAATCTGACAAACTGTGACCAATATATTAGTTATAGTAAAAACTTGCTTCATGTTTGGGTAGAGGTTGGACCTATCCATTTAATAGTTCAATAAGGATTGATCAGAACTGTACTAAAAAGATTAGAGGTTATATACAAAAAGTTCAAGAGAGGCCACTGAGGATCAGAGCTTAGAGCTTTTACAACTCTATGTGATAAATGCATCCCAATATATTTACCTATATTTCTACCCATATTAAATTTTAAAGCAATAATGTACAGAACCATATTTTTAAAAAGTCCCCAGATAAAAATTATCATAGTTGTGCGTTATGGCACTATAAAGCTTTCATTAACAATTTAGCAGCCCTAGAACCATTTTTTAAAATTAAAAAAAAAATTGGCTTATGGTTGGGTTTTCCTTCAGCTCACCCCTTTTGTCAAGATTAGGATGGCCCAGCCGAAACCGGTTTGGCTCAGTGGTAGAGCGTTGGTGTGCGGACTGAAAGGTCCCGGGTTCGATTCCGGTCAAGGGCATGTACCTTGGTTGCGGGCACATCCCCAGTGGGGGGTGTGCAAGAGGCAGCTGGTCAATGTTTCTCTCTCATCGACGTTTCTAGCTCTCTCTCTCTCTCCCTTCCTCTCTGTAAAAAATCAATATTAAAAAAAAAAAAAAAAAAAAAGATTAGGATGGCCCATTAATAATCCAGCATATTTATTTAGTTGAATTCCTAAGTTTCACAAGAGAACTATATCCTTCTCCTGTGGCTGATGAACCAAATTATTTGGGTCTGTCAAATTCAATAAGACACATCCTTACTTATGGCTCTTCATTTTCAAATTATACTTCAAGTAGTTGACTGATTTGATATAGAATCTAAGCAACTGAAAAATTTATGATTAGGGTTTTATATCTGGTCTTGTGTCCCCTAATATTGAAAAAACAACAATGTATAAAACCAATTGCCTACTGAAGCCAAGTCAAGTTAATAAACCCTATTATCCTATGTCTGTTGTCCTATCAGAAGGATTAATTGAAGGATGAGACATCCATTCTTCTAAAGCAGTGTTTCCCAAAGTGTGGTGCGTACCCCCAGGGGTACAGGAAGAGTTTGGTGGAGATATGCACTACTCCGTGCTTAGCTGCGCCTAATTCTACGTTCTCATGAGTACGAGGGGTACTCAGCGTTACAAAAATTATAGAAGGGGTACACATATGTCAGAAGTTCGGAAAACACTGTCTAAAGCACGTGTCAAACACAAGGCCCGCGGGCCAAATCCATCCCGCCAGGCCTTGCAATGTGGCCCGCACCGCGCTGTCATCACTGCACTCCGGCTGCGTTTCCATCACAATGACAGTTTATGACTGTTCAGTAAACCATTCGGCCCACGATTTAGGCTGGATTTTAGATTTTGGCCCCTTCTCTGATTGAGTTCGACACCCCTAGTCTAAAGCATAAAAAATCACGCCTCCTTAGGTAACAGCTCTAATGCCTGAGTTTCATAATATACACAAACCTAAAGGTATTAGTTTTCCTAAAACTTTTAATAATGTGCCTTTTCAAACTAAAAAATGTGTATCCTTGGAGAGCTGTTTTATTATTTCAACTGGGAATGCTGGCTTTTCTCAACTATACCATTAGAGTAGAATGATCAGAGCTGTGTGCTCGACCACATTACCTTGGTCCCTTGTAGAACAGCTTTTACTGAATTGTGCTTTAGCATTATGCTGTTGGTTTCCACAGGGAGATCAATTTAACCACTTCTCAGCTCTCATCACATGGGGAGGGAAACCAGCCCTATGGTGAAAAAAGCTAACTCAATGTTGTCTCAGTGGTAGTGACGAATTTGTTAGATCACTTAAATTCAGTTCTGAAAAGAATGCATCATTGACAACATCAAATAAGGTTAACTCAGGCAACTGAAGCAAACAATTTTTTAATAAGGATAACAAATTGTCAAGATTAAAAACAAAAAAGTTAGCCTTTTACTTTACCTGCTAATGCTTCTGCTGTATCCTGAAATTTCTCAAAATGTTTTAGCTTAACTCTAGAAGAAAGAAAAGAAGTCATGCAGGCACACTGATTTCTGTAAAAGCCACATGTTTAGGAAAGGTTGTTCGACTGTTTCCAAAGCATGCACTGATAACTTCCCTCCAAAGGGTACCAGGGTACAAGGTTAGATATTATTCACAAAATGACCAGTTCTGTCGAAACCAGTTTGGCTCAGTGGATAGAGTATCGGCCTGCAGACTGAAAGGTCCCAGGTTCGATTCCAGTCAAGGGCATCTACCTTGGTTGTGGGCACATCCCCGGGGGGGGGGGGGGGGGGGGGGGTTGCAAGAGACAGCTGATCGATGTTTCTCTCACATCGATGTTTCTAACTCTCTATCCCTCTCTCTTGCTCTCTGTAAAAAAAAAAAAAAAAAAAAATCAATAAAAAATATATATTTTAAAAATGACCAGTTCCTCTAAATGTTAGCCTACTAATGTTTGGACTATTATAGAGGAAGTTGTAGGCTTTGAAGGAAACATAGAACAGGAAAGAGGTTGACTACCACATCTAAACCACAGGAAAGATGCTGAAGCTTCAACATAACCTCTGTTGCTTAAAACTAGACTCAGATGCCTAAGAAAAGGAGTCTGTCTTAGGAAGCTTATGACACTAATTTGTCATTCCAGTAAAAATACCATTAAACAACAGCTTATTGTCAAATCTGATTGCTGTCGATCTTATTTTTACTCCCCTCTTTCTCCACCCAGTTATGTGCAGATTATCATTTCATATGGAAACAAAGACATTTAATCCATTGCTGTCTCAGTGGTAGTGACGAATAGTTGAGTGAGATCACTTAGATTCAGTTCCAATAAGAATACATCATTGACAACAATGAATTAAGTTAACCCAGCCAATTAAAGCATATATTCCTTTAAAAAGAGAAAATTAGCCCTAGCCAGTTTGGCTCAGTGGATAGACCATTAGTCTGGGGACTGAAGGGTCCTGGGTTCAATTCTAGTCAAGGGCATATATCCGGATTGTGGGCTCAATCCCCAGTAAGGGGCATGCAGGAAGCAGCCAATGAATGAGTCTCATAATTGATGTTTCTCTCTCCTCCTCGCCCTTCCTCTCCGAAATCAACAAAAATATATTTGGGGGGGGGGGGGGGGTGTTTCAGTCTTCTATTGTGTCTCAAATATTATCTTAAGCAAGCTTTTCTCACCTGGTCAGAAACACCCAACAATACAATGATTTGAGGAAAAGTAGTAATTTCATCTATCCTGCCTCACTTCACCCCTATTTGCACCTTTCTGCAGTGGCATTTGCATAAATGCATATATAGATACACAAGAACATGGCAAAAATGGGACCATATTATACAAAATCTGAAGCATGGTTTTCTCAGTATATCATAGACCACTCCCTAGATTTCTAAGAGATCTATAGATATACTAAAGTTTATTCAACAATTACAGTACCAATGAGCATTATTTAAAATTTAGGGTTATGCCACTACAAATGCTGGAACTACACATTTGTTTCTCTAATTATTTAGTATGACATTTCTTTGGGTTCAATACTATCTTCAGCAAGCTTTAGTAGTTTTTTTCTATTCTTGTGAATTTTTATTAGCACTGGCAGATGAATTATGAAATGTCCCTTAACATCCAACGACATAACCTAAACCCACATGTATCAAGATATTAGTCAGGTCCTTCCTAGGGCTCATTCACTAAATGGATAATTTCATAAGGTGATTCACAGATGGTGAGAGCCATGTTGACTGCCCTGAGGAAAAGCCAGCTCTCTCTTACCCCTCATTCCTTTAGCTGGCATCAACATTACACACTCTTTTCCTTTCTCAGACTACCTTTCCAGGATTTCCTAGCTAGATATTCCTCCAGTGGGAGATAGGAAGCTGAAGTCATAAAGAATGAATAAACTGCATAGTAGGTTAAAAAACATTTGAATGATACTAACTTAGAGAAACTAAGTTAAATCCATGCTTTTTGACAAATATTACTTTTAACTAAAATTTATACTTAATTCACAATCAGTTCGTGCTTTGAAAGAACTTACAAAAAAGTAATTTGTGTTGCTGCCCAATCTAGTCTGGATCTAATACAAATTAGTAGAGATAGCTTATGCACCAAATAAGGAAATTAGGCTTATACCAATATCATTCCTGAAATACTTTTTAAAACAAAAGTTATGAAAAATAACAATTCCGTGAACAGAGGGGAGGGGTATGTAAAAAGAACCCCTATAGATGTGAAATGCTACATTCTTATTTTCAAGGTGACTTACATTTTATTTGCTTTCTCTGGAGTTTCAAATTCTTTCCACAAACTATCAACCTCTTGAAGTTTCTTCTCATTCAAAACCTGTAATAAATATTTAAGTAATTTTAAAAAACAGAACAGTTTAGTCCCAAACAGTAGCTCAGTGGTTAGAGTGTCAGACCTCATACTGAAGGGTCCTGAGTTAGATTCCAGTCATGCCTGAGTTTCTGTATGAATGCAGATTAAACACACATATGTTTCCTTCAAAGTCACACACACACATACCCAGATCCCCAGCCCCAGTAACAATCACTGTTTCCGTCTCCCTTCCACACACTCTAAAAATCAATGGGAAAAATATCTTTGGGTGAAGATTAATGATAAATAGATAAGTAGCTAAAGAGATAAGTAAATAAATGCACAACTTAGGCACCCATATACCCTACTTCTAGTACAACTGCACGTGTGAAATGAGGACGGTGTAAGTTATTTTCTTCCTCTGAAATAATGAACCAGTTTTCTAACCCAGCATAAAATTTTCAAATTAGTAGCTCAAGTGGCACATTTAATAACTGGATGGAATTCAGATCTAGTAGTGGTGGTGGTGATCGTGTGTGTGTGTGTGTGGGGGGGGTGTCTTTGCTGAAAACTTCCTATTTTAAACATCGCAAGCTTCATACAACCAATCTGTAACTCTTTAGTGCCCTCCCCACAAAACACTCACCACCCTGTTCCTCTTCTCTGCCCCATCATCACGCACCCACTTACTGACACCAAAACCCCATTCACGCCACCAGCCAATCCCGTCAGTTCTAGCTTTAAAATTCTCTGATGACCATCTTCAAGTCAACCTCCATCAAAGCCTCTTTAGCTTGTCTAGTTTAATGCAAAACCACCCTTGCAGGCTGTAATCCAGTCATAGAGCACAGGGCATTTATTCCTCTCGTTAAAACTTTCCAGCCATTCTTCAAAAACACTCAGGTTAAAACCCGGACTCCTTCATTACCTTTAAAGCTCTAAGATGGCCTCTGCTCACCTCTCTAACCGGCCAAATCCTCTAACCCAGAACCCTGCACCCCGAAGAGCGAGGCCACGTGTTCGCGGAAACACGCGCCTCCCGGGCCCCAAGCCTTCCCCTTCCTTTCAGGGCAGGGGAGCCTAGGAGGCACCCCTGCTCCCCTGAGCAGTGCCATCCTCTCCGTAAACCTTTCCTTCTCCCCGCCGGTCCCACAACCGCCCTCCCCCTCCAACCGCTCCATCTCCCCCTACCTTAAAGATGGCGTAGCCGACGGACGTTTCAAACAGCACCAGCATGGTGAGGCCGGGTCAGGGCGCGGCGCGGCCCTGGTGAGCGCTAGTCCCAACGGAAAAAGGCCCGACGTGCGGCCCCCGAGCCCGCAGGGCCGCGGCTGGCCCGGCACAGACGCGCACGCCTCCCTGCAGAGCGCAGACCACGCTGCCTAAAGGCTCCACACTGCACTGCGTGCAGGACGCGTGAACGCGCTTCTCCTTCCCCGAGGATGCTGGGAGGCAACGCGCTTCCGGCGGGCGGCGTGACGTCACTTCCGCAATGTTCCCGCCACGGGGGAGGGGCGGGAGGGCCGCCGAATTGTCGCGGGATTTCGCAAGGCGACGAGTTTTTATGCCTGTAGGCTTCACACAGAAGTCAAAGTAAAACGTTGCTTATGCTTATTTTTAAGTCTCACATATGAAATATTCCACGTGTGTCTCGGCGTCTGCCTCAGGGGTAGTAATTGGAGAAGTGCAAGCCGCTGGGCTGTACTCCTGCCTCGAAGTCCTCAGGATGACAGTTCGGTAGGCACCGTGCCTGCGAGCTCTCCTGATGGTTCTTTCTGGCCAAAGTGATGGTTTGGCACAGATGTGTTTCAAATTTATGTGGGTCTCCCTTCCCCCCACCCCCACCTTTTTTTTTTTTTTTTTTACTGCAATGACTCTAGGTATGAATGCAGATGTTCTGTTCTTTTATGAGTGTAATTGATAACCGGCTCGGTGAACCCAGGTGTTTTCCTGGTGTCGTGTCTGGAGATGCTGAAGAATGAGCTACACGAACCAGAAGATTTAAACAAAAGTGTGGAGAATTTATTACAAGCAGATTCAGACTCCCCCACCGGGTGGGGGCCCGAAGAATGGGATGCCAGCAAAGCGAGTCATCCTAGGAGGATATATGTGTTACTAGCCTGCTACCTGTCCATCTATGTCACCCCCTGATTGATGCTCTGTTTATCCCCAGCAAGGAACCTGAACTTTCTGTTTCTGTGTGTACGTACACCTTGTTTATTGCAGGCCCTCCCTTGGTTTCCATGCCTCCTGCTCTCTATCCAAAAACATTTTATTTTATTTTTTTCAGCATGGTTGGTTTCTGTTATTAGGCTTGCTTAAGCTGCCCTGTCTGCCCCCTGTCTGTGTTCTACCTGCCTTTGTTTCCCACTGGATCCCTACCCTATCTGTCTGCGTTTCAAGCTAACTCCCCTCATAATTTGCTTTTCTGATAACATTCAGTCTCCTTGTCTGGTTTAAATACCCCAATTCTTACACAAGTCTGGCTTCCAATAGCAGTGAAATTTCTTGTCTCGCTTCCCAGTCCCAATATCCAGGTTGCCTACAAATATTAACAAACAACCTCCTGGAAGTTATGGAACACTAGGTAACTTGATTTTCACAAGCAGTTCTGCAACCGGGCATCAAGAGAAATGAAAATTCTGAACTAAGTAACAGAAAAAGGTGAAAGTGGGGGGAAATCAATGGGTAGGGGGATCTATGGTATAGACCAGAGCATTACTGACTATAGCATAGGATCCAGTGTGGTCAGGGAAACGAGAAGCCAAAATGGCTTAATTGGGAGAGGGGGGGGGGATAGAGGGGGGTGGGCAGATTAATTGGAAACACTGTGTCTCTTTATATTGTTATATAACTTTATACTTTTTTGGGTCTAGTGTCCTCAATGGCAGTACATCTGCTAGAGAATGGAATCTGTATCTTTCACTTATTTGGATCCTATAAGCCTCAAACTTTTTAAAGTGTGGGCCAGATCACGGTCCCTCAGAGAGCTGGAGGGTCGGACTATATGAACTACTAATTCCTACTGTAACACCTCGGCTGCGCTCACTGCCCAAAAAACCTGGCGGGCCGGATCAGACTCCTCTGCGCGCCGCATGTGGCCCGCGGACCGTAGTTTGAAGACGCCTGCTATAAGGAATAATGTGCTAGTCATGAAGTCAGACCTCATTAAGTGATTGGTAAATATTTAATGAAAGAATACCTGCAAGAAGTAAAGTTCTTTTCCTTGTGTCTAACGCTTTACACAAAGAGGTAATGAGAAACTTACTTACTGTGGCATTTCCTAGAAGTTATCTTTGCACAGTGCCCATATAATTAAATTAAGACAATAATTCAAATAGACAAAAAGGTGACCACAAGAAGGAAACTAAAGGCTGGAGGTCACAGTTTGATTCTGGTCAGGGCACATGCCTGGCTTGTGGGTTCTATTCCCAAGTGTGGGGCGTGCAGGAGGCAGACAATAAATTATTCTCTCTCAATATTGATATTCTATCTCTTTTTCCCTCTCTCTTCCACTCTGAAATCAATAAAAAAAT